TCGGGCTTTAATTTGCTAAAGCTGTGCACATATGTAAAAAAAAAAAAATAGATTATTTTAGGGGAGATGTAGGTGTAGGATTATTGCTTATGTCATTTCTTAAGCAGTTATGCTCTTAATGCTTAAAAGAAGGCTAGCATTGTTTGCACAAAAAGTTGGTGAACCCCTCCCCCAAATAGTAATGAAATTACTTCTGTTGAGTAAACTTTTTATGTCATCTTATAATAAAAGCTGAAAAAATCCCTTTGTTTCTATTTATAAAAAAAAATGCTTTTCTATGTGTACCCTTGATAACAAGATTTTGAAGAAATCATGTAAGATGATAACGCATTTGAATGGTACAGTAGATGTAAAAAAAAATTCAGTTTAAAAGAACGTTTGTTTTTACATTAAATGTTTATTTGAAATCAAATGATTTTGTACATAAAGTTCAATAATATAAAAGCTGTATTCTTTTGTTTTTTATTACTATGAATTGTTAATGCACGAATGTAACAGGCTTAGATTGCACATTAGGGATCCAGAAAAAGTACATCAACCTCTGTAGATGGGTCAAAGAGGATGAAGTAAGTGGGGCTGGCAGGTGGCGTGGTGGTTAAGGTGGCTGGACTCCCACATGGGTGACCATGGTTCAAGTCCTGAACCTGGCACCTGGCTCTCTCACTTTCCTTCTGTCTGTCTCTGGTCGACTTTAAAAAAGTAAAAATAATGACAGTAAGATTACATTAATTTTTTAGAAGATGAAAAAATTAATGTTAAATCTTCCTTTCAGTTCTAGTAACATCACTTATAACTAGTATGCTATGTCATTTATGGCAGTATATAAATATTTTTAAGTTCAGAGTAGTAACAGTCAACCAAACAGCCCTTCCCTCAGGTCTGGGACTTGAACTGCAGTTAGCCATATGGGATTCAATGCTACAACCACCGTGCTATCTGCTGGCCCCCTCAAATATAAATCTTGACCTTCAAAAACTTCTATGGGCATTGTATCCCCACAGAGTGGAACAAGGTACAAATGAACAATGATGAAGTAAAATAATACATTCTGGGGCTAGCAGGTGGCATGTGGTTAAGGTGCTAGACTCCCATATGGCCAACTGTGGTTCGAGTCCCAGACCTGGTAGCTTGCTTTCTCTCTGGCCAAATTGAACAAAAAAATAATTTTAAAAAATAATATATTCTAATAAGACTTTTTACATTGTGTAAGAGGATAGTAGTTGAGATTAACTCAAGATGTCAAGGAGAAAAGGTAGCAATTCAGCAGTTCTCAGTTTATACTTCTGTGATAGTTGCCCATACACGTTGCTAGGTATTTGAGGTGAAGGTTCCCCTATGCTTACAAACATACTATGCATTTCTTTTAAGCACTTGCTGCTTTTTCATTAAACTGCTGTCAGCCTTACCTTAGAACTAATAGTCTTAGTTAGTATTCAGATGTCTGGTGAGGTAAGGGTTTGCGTTCGAGGTAACAAGTATATGGAGACTTACTGCAGACGTGACACAATCCAATTTATTTTAGGAGAGCCATGGCAGTAAGAAAAAACTGAGTGAAAAACTCCATGTAGAGAGAATTGGTATTCTATTGCACTAATTCAGATGAAATATCCCAACAAACAGAACACGTACTGAGTTGTGCCCAAGAGGTAACTGTTGAAATGATGTTGCAGTATAAAGGAATGAAAATGGGGTCAGCCCTGCGACCTAGTGCTTATAGGAGCCAGATCCTATATGAATGACTGAATGGTTTGAATCCTGGTCTGGGTGCCTTGAGAAACACAGTGGGCACATGTGCATGTGTGCCCAACATGATGGAGAATCTGAATAGGGACTGTTGTAGCCATGCCCCGCTGGAGAGGTGCTTTCCCCCTCTCCCTCTCCAGTGAGCAGTGCCTGCCCTCTCTGTCAAAAACGAACTATTTAGTAGCACAGTGACGAAGTCTAGAGGAAGCAGCAGTTCTATGAAACAAGATGGCAATTTAAAGGGACTTAAGTAATGGAGGTTAAATGAGTGTTTAGTACATGGAAAACAACTTGGGAGAGTTTATCATGAAAGGTGTATCAAAGATGGGGACAGCAACATGGAGAGAAGCAACAATTTTGGGGAGGGTGGATAGGAAGGCTGGACATGACCGTGGAGAGGAAGAGACAGGAGATCAGATACAAGTTACTGGAAAAAGCAGGAAGGGGGTGGCTTAAAAACAGATGGATTCAGCTTGAGAAAGCTGGAAATTCGCAAAATAACACTACTGGCAAGAAATAGGCAGGTGCTCAAGACAAAAAAAACAGGAAAATATTGGGTCGTCAGGAAAATCATGACACCTTATAGAAAAACAGAAAAATACCTCATGACTTCACCAACAACCTTAAAAACTAAAACCTCTAGAGAGAGCAGTGTGATACTTTTTTCTTTTAAGAGATTTTTGCTATAAGGTTCATACACTTGCTAGAGAGAAAGAGACAACTCACCCCCTGGGGAGATGGCCATGCCAGACCCTCTCTTCCATTCTCCTTTTGGGATTTTGAGGATGCACACACACAGGCCTGGCATGAGTTTCAAAGGCTATGGGGGCTGGGACTCAAACTGAGCAGCTTGCTTTCTCACTTTTCCTCTCTAACTGGATTAAAAATAATGGGGGAAAAATGGATAAAAGTACTTTTTTATTCTTTAAGGCTGAGCATGTGTGCCCCAAATCCTGAGAGAAATCACCCTGGGGGGTGATTTTTTGCTTTCAATCTGGCGAGCACACAGGCCCTTACAGCAAAAAACAATTTTTTTTTTTTTTTTTTGAGAAGCTTTTACTATAGGGGGTGTGTGCTCAACAGAGAGACAGAAAGTAAGAAATCATCCCCCAGGGGGATGGCCACGCAGCAATCCCTTCTCCATTCTCCTCTCGGGATCTTAGGCATGCACGCACATGTGCCTGGCCTGAGTTTAAGCCACTAGGTCCGGGACTCGAACTGCGGTTGACTACATGGGAGTCCAGTGACAGCCATTACACTAACTGCTGGTCCTGCAAAATTCTCTCAAAAAAAAAAAAATTGGGTCTGGCGGGTGGCATAAAGGTTAGGGCGGCTGGACTCCCACATGGCTGACTACAGTTCAAGTCTCAGACTTGGCAGCTTGCTTTCTCACTTTCCTTCCCTCTCTCTGGTCAACTTAAAATAATGGCAACGTCACTGGACTCCCATGTAGTCAACTGTGGTTCAAGTCTGACTCAGTGGCTTAAACTCAACAGGTGTGTGTGCGTGTGCATGCCCAAGATCCCAAGAGAATGGATGAGAAGGGATTGCGGTGTGGCCATCCCTCTGGGGGGTGATTTCTCACTTTCCCTCTGTCTCTGTCTGTATGCACCCTATAGCAGAAACTGCTCCAAATAATACTACTACTAAAGGATAGCCTGTATTTGCTTAGGTTGTAAAACATGTCCGAGAAAATACACAAGGTGGGGGGCTGCTAGCAGGTAGCGTGATACTTAAGGCACTGGACACTCCCACATGGCCAACCATAGTTTTGAGTCTCAGACCTGGTGGCTTGCTTTCTCACTTTCCCTGTCTCTCTGGTCTAGTTAAAAATAAAGAAACATAAGTGTGTGTATGCGCACACACATATATATAGACACAGAGTTCACAGATCTTTCTCAGGACTTGGGAGAATTAAGTGCCTACCTCACACACAGGTTGGAACACAGTAGGAACTTAGTAAATCTGAGTAGTGTAATGTTCCTGTGTACTACTACTTCCTATAAGGTTGATTTTTTAAAAAATTATTTTATTTAACTTTATTTTTTAATTTAAATTTGACCAGAGAGAGAGAGTGAGAGAAAGGGAAAGTGAGAAAGCTAACTGCCAGGTCCAGGACTCAAACTATAGTCGACCATGTAGGAGTCCAGCACCCTTAGCCACCATGCCGTAAAACATCTATACTGCACAGGAAATAATCAATGGAATGAAAGGGCAACCATACATCTGGCAAGTAAGTGATTCCTAGAGTATACAAAAAAAATGACAATAATAACAAAATACCCCAATTAAAGAATAGACAAAGGAGTCCAGCAGTTGGCATAATGGCTGTTGCTGGACTCCCATGTAGTCAATTATGGTTTGAGTCCTGGACCCCATAGCTTAAAACTCATGCCAAGCGCATGTGCATGTGTGCCCAAGATCCCAAGAGGAGAATGGAGGAGAAGGGATTGCAGCATGGCCATCCCCCCTGGGGGGTGATTTCTCATTTTCTGTCTTTCTGGTGTGCGCACATGCCCTATAGCAACCCCCCCCCCAAAAAAAAAAAAAAGGAAAGTAGATGACCTTGGCAGAGAAATAGGTAAAAAAAGAATCAAATGGGGGACCAGCAGTTGGTGTAATGGCTATGTCGTTAGACTCCCATACATTCAGCCACATTTCAAATTCCAGACTCGGTGGCTTAAAACTCATGCCAAGCGCATGTGCATGTGTGCCCAAGATCCCAAGAGGAGAATGGAGGAGAAGGGACAGTGGCGTGGCCATCCCCCCTGGGCGGTGATTTCTTGCTGTCTGTCTCTGTCTTTCTGGCAAGCGCACGCGCCCGATAGCAAAAACCTCTCCAAGAAAAAAAGAATCAAATTAACATCTTAGAACTTAAAAAACACAATAATCAAAATACCAAAATAAAAAGCTCAGTAGAGGCTGGTAGCTGACATGGTGGTTAAAGTGCTGGACTCCCACATGGCCAAATACAGTCCCAGACCTGGCACTTACTTTCTCACTTTTTTTAGAGTTTTTTTTTTTTTTGGCTATAGGGTGTATGCACTCACCAGACACAGTGAGAGAGACAGAAAGTAAGAAATCAACCCCCATGGGGATGGCCACGCCACAATCCCTTTTCCATTCTCCTCTTGGGTCTTGGGCACACACGCACACACGCCTGGCATGAGTTTACTGGGTCCGGGACTTGATCCGTGGTTGACTGGACCACATAGGAGTCCAGTGACATAGCCATTATGCCAAGTGCTTGTCTCCCAACTTCCTCACTTTCCCTCTTTCTCTTTCTGTGGTCAAGTTAAAAAAAAATAATAACAATAGATAAAATTAAAATAAATAAATTTTTAAAATTAAAACACAACACAGTAGGTAAGCTCCAGAGTAGAATGGAAGTGTCAGGTAGTAGAATCAGTAAACTGGAAGATAGAACAATAAAATTACCTAAACTGAACAACACTGTGAAAGCAGACTTCACCCCCCTCAAAAAAATTAAAACCTTAGGAACCTATGAGATTAACATGATGAGATTCCAAATATGGCAAGAGACAAACCTACAGATAGAAGAAGCTGAAGAATCCAAATAAGACAACTCCAAAGAAGCCTACACAAAGATCTTTTATAGGGTTATAGGGTGTTATAGGGTGCATGCATTTGCCTGAAGCAGAGAAAGAGAGAGAAATTATCCTCCAAGAGAGAAGACCATGACACCATCCCTTCTCCTCACGACATTTTGAGCACACACACACATGCTCATGGCCTGTTTTTCAAGTCATAAGGTCCAGGATTCGAACCGTGGAGTCAGTCATGAAACATCTACCTGCCTTAACCTCCACACCATCTGTTGGTTCCACAGATCAAAATTAAACTTCAGGAAACTAAATTTTAAAAAAATCTTGAAAGCGGCTGCTCCGGCTGGGTGAACATGGTGCTGCGAGCGGCGTGGAGCATGCGGACCGTGGCCTGCAGCCTGTGCTGGCCTCGGCGTCCGCCGTGGCCCTGGCGGCTGCGGGTGGGCGCTGTCCAGACGCTGCGCACGGGACCGCTTCTACTGTCGGTGTGTAAATTCACGGAGAAACATGAGTGGATAACAACAGAAAACGGTATTGGAACAGTGGGAATCAGCAGTTTTGCACAGGAAGCTTTGGGAGAGATTTATTGTAGTCTGCCTGAAGTCCGGACAAAACTGAATAAACAAGATGAGTTTGGTGCTTTAGAAAGTGTGATCGCTGCTAGTGAACTCTATTCTCCTCTGTCAGGAGGAGTAACTGAAATTAATGAAGCTCTTGCAGAAAATCCAGGACTTGTCAACAAATCTTGAAGATGGTTGACTGATCAAGATGACACTGAGTTACCCTTCAGAACTAGATAGACTAATGAGTGAAGATGCGTATGAGAAATATGTAAGTCTACTGAAGAGTAAAAGTAGAACCCTTAGTGTAAAACAACTTAATCCAGGCATAGTTGTCGTAAATTAGTGGTTGATAGAAGACTGAAAACGCAACTTTTAGCAATGCCAGTGGAAAAAGAAACTACTCTGAACACCACTACTGGAAAGAAAAACCCCTTAACTTTCTAACGATCAGATATATATATATTTTGAGAGTTTTTTGCTATAGAATGGGTGTGCTCACCAGACAGACAGAGACAGAAAGCGAGAAATCACCCCCCAGGGGGGATGGCCACACCGCAATCCCTTCTCCTCCATTCTCTTCTCGGGATCTTGGCATGCACGCACACGCACCCGGCATGAGTTTTAAGCCACCAGGTCCGGGACGTGAACCGTGGTCGACTACGTGGGAGTCCAGCGACATAGCCATTATGCTAACTGCTGGTTCCGTAATGATCATATTTTTAATAAGCACAAAATGCATCTTTTTCACAATATTCTATGATTCTTAGTCTATGCACAAGTGTTCAGAATTCATGAAATTATCTGTGATTAAAACTAGCTACAGAAATGATGTAACCAGTGATAACACTGTTCGCCTAAGCCTTACATAACACTGTATATAACCATCCCAGGATGTGGGTCAGAAGACTTCATTTTCTCTCCACTGGAAATAAGTGGGAGTGGAGAAAAGTTTTTGTTGTATAGTGTTAAAGAACAGTACTATTTTAGTTTTGTCATATACTGCATTTACTGGTGCTATTTTATGCAGCTGAAGCAACAGTTTTGCAGCAAAATAAAACATAATAAAATATTCAATTCCTCCATTAAAATCTTGAAAGCAATAAGAGCAAAATAATACATTACTACAAAGAAAAGCAAATAGAAGGACAGTGGATTTCTCATCTGAAACTATGGGAGTCAGAAAGAAGTGGCACCATATTTTTCACGTATTGAAAGAAAAGAACTTTAGGCCCAGAAACCTATGCCCCGTGAACATGTCCATCAGAAACCAAGGGGAAATCAAGACATCTCAGATGAAAGAAAACTAAGAGAATTTATCACGACCCCCATTCTAAAAGGATGCTCTGAGAAGTGCTCTAAACAGAAAGGAAACAAAGAAGGAAACTTCAAGCATCACGAAGAAGGGTCGGACAGAGCAAGGGGACACAACAGAGGCAGGCTGGAGCTGCTGCCATCGCCGTGACCCGCAGGAACCAGCGTGAGCTCGCCTGCAACTAGCGACTGGACTTGGTTAAGGGAAGGCACCGGGATGACGCATTTTCTGCTGCCACCCGCAAGCAGAGGGACTGGGAGAGCGTGCAGCAGGAGCATAAAAAGGCAAAGGAGGAGAAACCCAAGTAGCAAGCGAGTGCTATGCTAGGAAACTAAATACAGACACACAGAAATCAAGTTCAGTAACAACTAAGAAAACCGCCAGCTTACTGGTAGGGACAAGCCTGGAGTTGAATGTTAAGTTCCAGAACTTGAACAAGAAGATCAGACCACAACAGAAGATAAAGTACATGAGACTGAACTGGTCAAATAGAATCTTAGGACTTCTGACTAAAACATTACTGATTTTCTTCTATGCTTTGTTTTCCAGATTTAAGGATTTTTGTCCTGTCTTGAGCTGCTGATAGGTTCATGTACCTACTATTTGAACAGAATCCTAACCTGTTTCCTGGCTTTAAAAAAATGATTGTTTTCTTTGTTTTATTTTTTTTTTTTTTTTTTTTTTTTTTTTTTTTTTTTTTTGGGGGGGGGGCTTGCTATGCAGCACGTGTGCTCACCAGAAAGAGAGAGACAGAGAGACAGAAAGCGAGAAATCACCCCCCAGGGGGGGGATGGTCATGCCGCAATCCCTTCTGCTCCATTCTCCTCTCGGGGTCTTGGGCACGCACACACACGCGCCCGGCGTGAGTTTAAACCACTGGGTCCGGAACTCGGACCACAGTCGACTACGTTGGAGTCCAGAGACATAGCCATTACGCCAACTGCTGGTCCCTCTGGCTTTAAGTTTTAAGCGAAGCTCTCAGTATTTTTAAAACTTTTTTGATTTATTAAAGCTAAAACAGCTTTTCTTGAAATAAAAAAATATATTAAAAATACCTAATCACTGCAGGAAGCTATATAGCATGAGGTAGGAGCTACTCTTTTTTTTTTGAGAGGTTTTTGCTATAGGGCACATGTGCTCACTAGGAAGATGGAGGGAGAGGGAGAGAGGGGGAGAGGAAAAAAAAAAGAGAGAGAAAAGAGAGAAACAGAAAGTGAGAAATCACCCCCAGGGTGGATGGCCTCGCTGCAATCCCTTCTCCTACACTTCCCTCCTGGGATCATGGGCACACACAGCATGAGTTTAAGCCACCGGGTCTAGGACTCAAACCACAGTCGACTACATGGGAGTCCAGTGACATAGCCATTATGCTAACTGCTGGTCCTAAGAAATAAACGTTAAGTAGATGGCATAGTGGTTCCGTAGCTGGACTCCATTGTGGCTGACCTCAGATGGGGTCCCAGACTCGGTGGCATGTGTGTGTGTGTGCCCATGATCCCAGGAGGGTAGTGTAGGAGAAGGGACTACAACATGGCCATCCCCCTTGGGGGGGGAGGGTGATTTCTCACTTTCCCTCTTGCTGTCTCTGTCTCTCTCTCTGGTGAGCACATGTGCCCTAAGGCAAAAAAATAATCTTAATATATACACGTATATACACATACAAATGTAAAGCACTCCCACCACAACCTTGGGTCCTCTGCCCTAACATACCCCGTTTTTTCCCTCCATCATGCCTTTTCTAGATCTTTCCCTTCTCCTTCAGATGCCAGTTCTGAGATTATCAAATTTCTACTCACTTTGTAAGAACAGCTCCCAGAGTGCTTAGCTCTCTGAGCTCTTGGGAGCAGGTTTAATCAGTCTTTTCTCAGTGACACTCTTCTTTCTTTTTTAAGAGAGTTTTTTTTTGGTTTGTTTTAAGAGATTTTTGCTATAGGGCATGTGAGCTCACCAGAGAGACAGAGAGAGACACAGAGATAGAAAGCAAGAAATCACCCCCAGGGGGGATGGTCACGCCGCAATCCCTTCTCCTCCATTCTCCTCTCGGGATCTTGGGCACGCACGCACATGCATGTGGCATGAGTTTAAGCCACCAGGTCCGGGACTCAAACCATGGTCGACTATCTGGGAGTCTGGCGACAAAGCCATTACGCTAACTGCTGGTCCCACAATCCAACATTTATTGTACACTTGTTACATGTTCCTAGCTTGGTATCAGATGCACAGTATATAAGAAAGTCCCAGGAACCTTTCACAAGTTACAATGATATCTAATTAAAACGCTGGAGGCATTAGAAACCCTTTCACTCTTCTAAAGAAAGATGAAAGTAAAAGTCATCAACTCTCAGGAAAAATAATACACACATTTAACTTGTAGTTTTTTATTCTGTTTCAGATGGCTGGACAAGGCAAGTACATCGTGGAACAATCACTGAACAAGTGAAAGGCGACTTACTGCTCATACATAAAAAGGCAAGGGGACAAGGTCATGACTGTCTAACAGGGAATATGAATCCCAAATAAATTATCTTACAAAAATACCAGACTCGCTTTTCCACTACTAGTAAAAATTAAAAACAAAAAAATTCACATTAAAAAAATCTGTAGATTATTATAGCAAGTAACACATTTTAACATACTAAGTTAAATCCTTCAAATAAATATTTTACACAAATTTAAGTTTCAAAAAAAAATAGGTCAAGTATTTACTCTGTATTTTTTGGTCTGCTGAAAGACCATCTGTCAAACTGACTAATCTGGACTGCAGCTCACACTCTACAAATGGTAGCATGTGTATCACTGAGGTTGGACTCACGTGTGTGCATATTTTACACAGGTGAAATGGTTAACACTGATGTGCACACTACTTCCAGAAGTAGTTTTACCCTGTAAAAACTCCCTACCCTATCTTGAATCAAATTGCAAGGAAAGAACAAAAGATAATACTTGCTTATTATAAACATTTGCTCAGACATTTTAAAAAATACAAAAATTTTGAGCCATCAGGTGGCATAGCAGTTACGTTGCTGGATTCCCACATGGCCATCCGCGGTTTGAGTTACCAACTTGGTGGCCTGAAACTCATGCTGGACACGTGTGTGTGCATGCCCAAGATCCCAGGAGGAGAATGGAGAAGGGGTTGTGGTGTGGCCATCCCCCTTGGGGGGGTGGTTTCTTACTATCCCTCTCATTGTCTCTCTCTCTCTCCAGTGAGCACATATGCCCTAAGGCAAAAAGCTCTACAAAATACAAACATTTAGATTTGCTCTGTGGCCATGGTGGTTAAAGCAGTCAGATCCCACATGACCAACTGCCTGGTTCAAGTCATGGACAAGGTGACTTCAGAAACAGTCTAGGCACGTGTACTTGAAAGGAGGGAGAGATGAAAGAGAAGGACTGCGGTGTGGCCATTCACTATGGGGGAGCGTTTTCTCCTCTGTCTCTCGGATGAGCACACGTGCCCTCCAGCAAAACAAGAAAAAGAAAGAAACACAACAATTATAAGGCTTTTGGAACTTAAAGATTATTAAACATAGCATAAAAGTCAACACTGCTTAAAAATACCTGTGCATGGATCCAGCAGGAGGCGTGGAGATTAAGGCAGCTAGATCCCATGTGGCCAACTTCGCAGTTCAAGTCCTAGATCTGCTGGCTTGACAATCACAGCAGGCGCACATGCATGTGTGCCCCCAAATCCCAAGAGGATGGAGAAACGGCAGCATGGCCAAATCCCCCTGGGGAAGGTGGGGCGATTTCTCTCTCTCTCTCTCTCTCTGGCAAACACATGCACCCTACATCAACGCTGAAAAAAAAAGAAATCTGTACAAAATAGCAAAGTCAACACACTCGTGGAGTGCACAGGAGGGAATGCATTTACACAACACTGGCTTCCATCTGGTCTGTTCTTATTCTACACTAAAAGTTTATAGAGTATTAATAAAGTAATTTTACATTACGTTGTTCTGTCTTAACAGCCAATTCTAAGAAAAGTACGGGAGAAGGGTATAGCACTTCCCACATCTAATACTTGTAAAGGCACTCTGAATTTTATGGTGCTGTGCTATTTCAACTGACAGTATGCTAACAACGAAACTGACTAAATTATGGTTTTGTCAGGAACATTCACGTCTCTTATTGCTAAAATATCACAAAATGAATCCAGTAAACACTTTCCATTTCCAATGGGGCAACTAAGAGATGAATTCAACTGTCTCTTAATTAATTACAACTAAACTGAGCTGAAGGCAACCCTCCTACATCCGGCAAACCAAAGCCGAGCATCCGAGAACCTAAAACACTAACACTTTCCAGCCGGGGTAGAAAAATGAGCATCCGAAGTAAAGAGAGCCACAAGACTGATCGAGCAGCCAATCAAAAACCACTTCTCTGTTACTTGAGCTAATAGTTACTCGGAGCTTGAAGTTCCCGCCTTCACCATTACTGGTGGTTCCTAACGTCACAGCTTCGATGTCAAATGTGACAGTGGATCCGGAAGTAACTGCAGGCAACTGATTGGTCATTTCTTTTCCATTCACAAAAACTGCACCTACAATGTTAACGTAGAGAGTCATTTACAAGTGAGCAATAACTGTGTCAGAGAATCGCAACGGTACCCAGACTGCGAACACTTCATTTCCTAATTCAGATAAAGGGAACATTTTAAATGCCATTGGGACACACTTAACTACGACCACCAACCCCCATCTTCATGGCAGGAGAAAAAGTTAAAGCGTTAATCATGTTTTAGACTTCTGGTCCAGGGCCTTACTCTTTGTCAATAGAGATTATGAATGCATCCAAAAAGCTTGACACTGTCACAAAATTACATCCTATGAAATAGCAGTATCAGCTCATGAAATAAAGAAGAATCTTCTCCCCACTAAAGTTTGACCCCACACCACCAAATATTAACGTGTCTTGGTAGTGATGTTTAACAGTGTGTTAACTGTGAAGAAAGACACCAAAGAACTAAGATACCTGAAAAGGAAACTTTCTCCCCAGTTTCCTAATTCACAAAATAAATATATTTAACCTAGATAACCTATGCACACATAGTCCAGAGGCAAGCTGCCTGGTTCAAATCTCAGCTGTCACTTCCAGGCTCTGGGAATTTGAGACACTTAGTGAACCACTCTCAGCCTGTTTTCATTATCTATAAACCAGGTAGAACACTATTCCCTATCTCAAAGTTATGAGAGAGATTAAATGAATTATTTCCTATAAAGTGTTTAGAACAATACCTGGTATATAATACCCATACCAATTATGCCATTATGACCCAAACTTGTTCATCTGTTACTATAAATGTGTAGTACAAGGACAGATTCATATCATTCTTTTTTTTGTTTTATTTTTTTAGCGGTTTTTGCTATAGGGCATGTGCGCTAGCCAAACAGACAGAGAGACAGAAAACAAGAAATCACCCCCCAGGGGGGATGGCCACACCACAATCCCTTCTCCTCTCGGGATCTTGGGCACGCACGCACACGTGCCCGGTGTGAGTTTAAGCCACTGGGTCCGGCACGCGAACCATGGTCGACTACGTGGGAGTCCAGCGACATAGCCATTACGCTAACTGCTGGTCCCTTTGTTTTATTTTAAAGAGGTTTTTACCCTGGACACGTGTGCTTGCTGGAGGGAGAGAGAGATAGAAACAAAGACAGTGAGAGGGAAAGTGAGAAATCACTCTCCAGGGGGGATGGCCACACCACAATCCCTTCTCCTCCATTCTCCTTCCAGGAATCTTGGGCATGCACACACAAGTACCTAGGGTGATTTTCAAGTCGCTCGGTCCAGGACTCAAAGTGCAGCGACATAACTGCGACAGCATCTGCTGGCCCCAGACTCCTATCTTTCTAAGGTAAAATATGCATTTCCATGGGAATGATAGTTACTTTCTCTTACCATTTGTACTAATGCACACAGCTTGATCCCGTTGGAGAGAGTCATATCCATTCTGTTTTTCTGCACAGACTCCTAGACTGTCTCTCCTGTCTGGCTGTCCCACAGTTTCCACTCTATAAATGAGGTAGAAAGGTAATTTTATGATTAAAAAATACATAAAGGTAAAACATGATATGAATAGCTTAAAACTAGCAATTTGGGGCCACCACGAGTGTGGTGGTTGGGTGGCTGGATCCCACATGACTGAATATATAGTTTGAGTCCCAGGCCTGGCAGCCTGAAGAACACACGAGGTATGTGTGTGCCCAAAATCCTGAGAGAAAAATGGAAAAGGGGCTGCGGCATGACTATCCCTCCTGGGAGGTGCTTTCTTCTTTTCTCATTCTGTCTTCTTTTCTCTCTTTCTCTCTCTCTCTCTCTCTCTCTCCCTCTCCCTCCCTCTCTGGTGAATGTGCATTCCCTATAGCAATGGCCATGTCACAGGCCAGCCACATGAACTAGTGATTAAAGGAGCTGAATCCTGGATGATGGCTGGGATGGAGGCGACTTTGGAGCAGCACTTGGAGGACACAATGAAAAATCCACCCATTGCTGGAGTTCTGTGCACAGATTCACAAGGACTTATCAGGGTTGCCGTGGGACCCGTCGGATGAGCATGCTGGGGAGATACCTGTTTTAGCCCAGCAAGCAGCCAGGCTAACCTCCGACCCCACTGATATTCCTGTGGTGTGTCTAGAATCAGATAATGGGAACATTATGATCCAGAAACACAGCATTACAGTCGCAGAGCATAGAATGGCCTCTTGACGTCTTATCAGTTCTGCAGTTTATCAGAGGGAATGGATTCTGTGCTAATTATCTTACTAAAATGACTGAAATTTCTGGTAGGCCATTCATTTAAGATGCATTGGGTACTTTTCTATTTATTTTAAAATTGCTTTTTAACATTCTGTGGACTGACTTATCAAGATACTGTGCTAGGAAGAAAGGATTATGTTTTACAGTAGCAGGTCCAGGTCACTTTGTATATAGATGTTATGTTTAACAAATCTGGAGGAAAACTGAAAATTAAAAAAAAGGAGCTGGATCCCATATGACCAACCAGGGTTTGAATTCTGGCCCTAACAGCTTGGAAAACACTCCAAGGTGTATGAAAATGAATGCCCCAAATCCTGACGGGATGGAGAAATGAAGGAGAGGGGACTGCAGTGTGACCTGGCCCACTGGGCGGTACTTTCTCCCATCTCTATCTGTGGTGAGCACCTGTGCCCTGTGGGAATAAAAACATTATCAGTCTCAACTGTGCTCTCCTAAATAATATCTAACAATGATTTAGCACTCACTATATTGTGGTACTGTTTTTTTTTTAACACTCATTCATTCCTTTTTTTTTTTTTTGACAGTTTTCTAGCCAACTGAGTTTTATTTGTTGTATAAACCACCTAACATCTTTCAGATGAAAAAATACTAAATTTAAATAAAGATATTACAAAATGAATTAGAGCCCAATAAAAATTAGCTTTGGGGAGGGAACATAATTCTACTCAATTAAGGCAAACATTTTTATATGCCACAGATGAGGGTTTTTTTTTTTTTTTTTAGAGTTTTTTGTTGATTTGTTTTTTGCTGAAGGGCACGTGCACTCGCCAGAAAGACAGAGAAAGAGATAAAAAGAGAGAAATCACCCCCCAGGGGTATGGCCACAATGCAATCCCTTCTCTATTCTCCTCTCGGGATCTTGGGCACACACACACATGTGCCCGGTGTGAGTTTAAGCCACCGGGTCCGGGACTCGAACCGCAGTCGACCACATAGTTCAGCAACATAGCCATTATGCTAACTGCTGGTCCCAATTAGTTTGTTTTTAACACCCATCATGCCATGAATTCATAGCGAATAGGTTCTAGTAGCGTAGGTGCCTTTCCATTGGTTCTCACAAAGTGTGCTTCTCTGGGTGGAGCAGGCTGGCTCTTTAGTTGAAACCAGGTTCCTTTCTCTTTGGCTTCTTTCTTTTTCTGGTCATTTTCCTTCCCACGTTTTAGGAAGCTATCTCTGCTCTTAGAATGCTCAATATGCACATTGATTCTCTTGGCAAGAATCTTGTCCTTGTTTGTCTACAACAATGCTGACAGCATGCTGGGTAACACTGTAGACTCTTCCAGTTTTGCCATAATATTTGGGGGCATTCCTTTTTGAACAGTACCCATTCCCTGATGTCTACAATATCACCTTTCTTGTAGATTCATACATGTTGCCAAAGGAACCACTCCGTGTTTTCTAAAAGGCCTAGAGGACACATATTGGGTGCCTCTCCTCTTTATTAATTACTGGAAGATGGCGGTTCTGCCCAAAAGGAAGTACGCTCATTCATTCCTCAGGGACAGGATCTGGTTGTACTGTCCAGGCTGGCCTCAAACTATGATCCTCCTGCTTCTACCTCCTGAGTAGCTGGGACTATCCGCATGCACCACTATGCCTGCCACTCTTTTAAAATGTTTTGTGCCTATGTATCTAGAAATGATAAATAATCTCACAATGTATCAGGTAGACACTATTATCATTCTTCTCATTTTATAGGTGAGGCAATTCAAGTACAAAAGGAAAAACAAGATTAAAAATGGAAAAACACCTGACCCTGATCACCTGGCTGATGAGTGGTGGACCAGAACTCACACTCAGGAACCCTGAGTCTAGTGTCTATATTTATAACCATTTATAGCTATGACAGCACATATCTGTTTTTATGTTCGAGCTCTAGACACACAGAAAATTGTTATCATTTGACATTATAATTATATGACTATAGGGACCAGCAATTGGAGTAATGACTGTGTCACTGGACTCCCATGTAGTCGACCACGATTCAAGTGGTCGACTACATGGTGGCTTAAACTCACACTGGTCACATGTACGTGTGTGCCCAAGATCCCGAGAGGAAAATGGAAGAGAAGGGATTGTGGTAGACTGTCTCTTATAGAAATTTGCTCTTACTGAATCACAAAAGAAGAAAAATATTACTGACCTCTGATTTTTTTTTTTTGGAGAGGTTTTATGCTATAAGGCAGGTGCACTTGCCAGACAGAGAGAGATAGAGAAACAGAAAGCAAGAAATCACCCCCCAGGGGGGATGGCCATGCCACAATCCCTTCTCCTCCATTCTCCTCTCGGGATCGTGGGCACACACGCACACGTGCCCGGCGTGAGTTTTTTAAGCCACCGGGTCTGGGATGTGAACCACGGTCGACTACGTGGGAGTCCAGCGACATAGCCATTATGCTAACTGCTGATCCCGACCTCTGATTTTATTTATTTATTTTTTGGCCATAGGGTATATGAGAGATGATGAGAGACAAAGAGATACAGAGAAAGGAAAATTGAGAAATCACTCCCCAGGGCAATGACCACAGTGAAATTCCTTCTCCTCCATATTCTTCTTGGGATCTTGGGCATGGGCACACACGTGCCTGGCACAATCCTCAAGCCACTGGGTCCAGGATTCAAACCAAAGTTAGCCATGAAGGAATCTAACCACCTAAACCACCTGCTACCTGCCAGCCCCTGAAATTTTAAGACTGACTTTTTTTTTTTTTAATTTTTTTTTTGAGAGTTATTTTTTTTGCTATAGGGGGTGTGCGCTCGCCACAGACAGAGAGAGACAGAGAGACAGAAAGCAAGAAATCACCCCCCCGGGGGGACGGTCACGCCGCAATCCCTTCTCCTCCATTCTCCTCTCGGGATCTTGGGCACGCACGCACACGCGCCCAGCGTGAGTTCTAAGCCACTGGGTCCGGGACGCGAACCACGGTCGACTATGTGGGAATCCAGTGACATAGCCATTACTCTAACTGCTGGTTCCCAAGACTGACTTTTGAGAGATATTCTATTTAATGAGAGGAAAAGAGATGTAAACATATTTAGCGTCAAGCATTTTATACACATTATCTCAGTTAATCTGTTAATCTTCAGAATATCCCTGTGAATACAGATGAGAAAACTGAAACAGAAATATAAAGAAACCTCCTCAAGTAACACTGCCCATAACGATGGAATAGGCTCAGGATATTATGAACTCAAAGCTCACGCATGCTCTACGCACTTCACTACGTTACCCAAGGCATGAACAATGCTTTGATATCTACTTGCCTGAACGTTAATGTCTGTCCACAGAAATAGGTTGGAGCGCTGGAGTAGAGAACTCCTGAGGATTCCGAGTCGTTCCGGAGTGCTATATTTCTTCGACTGCTCAGGCTGTAGCCCTCAAAGCCAGCTGTCCATTCTTAAGAAAAGCAAAGATATTGAACACTGTTGACATCTTCTGAGGGCCATCTTCAGTACAGATACATCAAGTCAGACTTGAAGTGAAAAGGACTACTCTTAGGGGGTCACAGGCAAGGACAATGAATCTTTTTGGTTGGTTCCAAAAATTATTTAAAAATTTTAGTATATTACTGCATGATTTTGGCACAAAAAATCAAATAAGTGTTATCTCCTATCAAATGAGATCATGGTTCAAGCAAAATTGAGCTCACTCCGGGGCTAACAGGTGGCTTAATAATTACACGTTGCTGGACTCACACTTAGTCAACCATGGTTCAAGTCTTGGACCTGGTGGCTTGAAAATCACGCTGGGGACGTGTGTGTGCAGAGCCGAAGTCCTGAGAGGAGAATGGAGAAGGGATTGCAGCATGGCCATCCCCCCTGGGGGGTGATTTCTCACTTTTTGCCTCTGTCTCTCCAGCAAGCACACACGCCCTATAGCAAACATCTCTTTTTTTTTTTTGGAGATGTTTTTGCTATAGGGCGCGTGCGCTCGCCACACAGACAGAGAGAGACAGAGAGATAGAAAGCGAGAAATCATCCCCCAGAAGGGATGGCCATGCCACAATCCCTTCTCCTCCATTCTCCTCTCGGGATCTTGGGCATGCACGCACATGCGCCCGGCGTGAGTTTAAGCCACCGGGTCTGGGGTGCGAACTGTGGTCGACTACGTGGGAATCCAGCGACATAGCCATTATGCTAACTGCTGGTCCCTAGCAAAAATCTCTTTAAAAAAAAAACTGAACTTATTCCAACCTGATTAAGAACTACTTAACAGGGACCGGCAGATGAGTAATGGTTACATCACTGGCCTCCTGTATGGCTGGCCACATTTTGAGTCCCGGACCCAGCAACTTGAAACTCACACCGGTGTGTGTGTGTGTGTGTGTGTCCAAAACCCCAAAAGGAAAATGGAAAAGAGACTGAATGTGGCCATCCCCCTGGGGGCGGGGGGG